TGGCCTGGGCGGATCCCCTCCCACCTTTTCCAGACTGATCCATCTGGAAATTAGCCCTGCTACGCTCGGTGCCAACCGTGGAGATAGAAGCCAGCCCTCGGCTCGCAGGCAGCTCTGGGTCACAGCAGCCCCTCACCAGGAGGCACGAGGACAAGACCCACTCCCAGCACCACCGAGCATCATCCCCAGGAGCCGGGCACCTTCCCCTGTGCAGGGTCCCAACCAGCTTGGGGCTGCTCACCCGTCAGCCTGCTCCCTCCCTGCACATTCACACAGAGACCGATGGCCGGGCTGGCCACATTGAGACCAGGGCCAGCTTTGTTTTGCCCACCCAGCCTCCCCAAAACAAGGCTCCCTGCCTCTCCTGCCACGCCGAGCTCCCTGCTTCCAGCCAGGCAGCCGGCATCTGCTGTTTGCCGACGGCAGGTGCACACACACACACGCCGCGAGAAACAAACAGAGATGCAACCAAGCTCTTCTGCAAAAACCCAAATTGTGCACCGCTGGTTCCGCCTCCAGAGCGGCGCAGGGCTGGATATAATCAAGAGTCCTTACAGCTCAGGGTCACCAGTGACAGCTTGTGTTATTTACCGTGCCCAGCAACTGTTCCAGCGGGCAGATTAACGGCGGCACGGCCAAGGCTGGAGCAAAGAGCGCTCCCTGCGCGGGCGCACCCGCGTACGGGGGACACTGTGGGTCTCCCGCGGGGCAGCAACACGCAGAAATATCTCCTGTGCCCGCTGCTGAAAGCCAGAGCCCAGTCTTCAGAGGAATACTCTCTGTGCACTGCTGCCTGCTCAGAAAGCCCCAGGTTGTGCTGAAGCACGAGGCCGTGGCACCAGGTCGGCTCCCCTGGCTGATGGACACAGGAACCACCTCCCCAGCTAACGCAAAGAAACTCATTAGCACCTCTTTCCACAGAAAAAGCTCAACTTTAATTTTTCCCTTCGTATTCTTCTCCCTTCAGGCCCAATTAGTGCAAAACCCTTCACTCACCTGGCTCAGCACAGCTCGGGACCAAGCAGGGGCAGTGAGTGCCGGGGCAGAGCGCAGCCCGGGGGCAGGGGGCAGGGTGTGCTGCCCCCACACTGCTTTCTCTGGCAAAACCCTCCAACCGAGCTGCTACCAGACAGAAGTATTTGTTGTGCAGCTTCAATTTCTGCCAAGGTTTCTGCCGCATTCCCAAAATTACAGCAAAACGTAGCTCCTCCAGCACTACCAGGAAAATTGGGATTCACTCCTCTGACTTACAGAGCGGCTCGCTTCCAGGAGCCCTTTTTCTCCCTGAAATTCCTAAAACACAAAGTAAGAAAAGGGCAGGCTCTGGGCGAGAGGAGCCACAGAGCTGGCACCTGGGGGCTTTGGGGGCTCCTGGGGGTTTTCAGGGCGCAGTGAAGTCCTGGGTGGTTTCAGCTGGGGACAGCTGCGGGGGGGACCCTGGGGACCAGTGCTTGGCACAGCCCTGGCAGCACAGCCATGGCTCACGGGAGGGAATAATTGAGCATCCCATTGTCTAGCAAGGGCTGGAAACCCCGAAGCTGAAGCTGTTGGAGGCAGAGGTGTTTGTTTACCCTGGGTGCATTTCCCAGCCCACATGCTGAAGGGAGGAGCTGCAAGCAGGCGGTGGTGGGACGGGAACACCGGGGGGGTCACAGCTGCCCTGGGGAGCCAGAGCCCCTGCACGGACCTGCAGACACACCAAAACCCCATGGAGGAAACACCAGCTTGTGCAGGGTTTCCTTCTGCAGGGCAAAGAGGCCGGGGAGCCCCAAGCTCCAGCTGGGGTGGGAAGGGGGCAGAGAAGCTGGGATGGAAGAAATGACAACAAAAGGCAGAGATCTTGGCTCTGCCTCAGCTCCACCACGTATGGCAGCAGTCGCAGCCTGGCTCTGACCCCAGCAGCTCCCACTGCTGCCCAAACCCTTTGCCACATCCTGGCACCACACAGCACCCGGCACAGCTCCGGCACTGCCTGGCCAAAGGAGAGGGCTGGCTGGCTCCCGACGGGCTGAAAATACTCCCAGAATAAAACTGATTTGAACAGGATGGGAAGCCAGAGGACTGGGAATCTCCAGAACTAGAAGCTAATAGGTACCATTTTGATGTATTTTTTCCCTAACACCAACATCTCTGTTTCCCTAGTATATTTGGAAAATGAAACGCTAATGTTTAGATCAACATCCTTTTTTTGTTTAAGAGACAATTATAAACAAACCACAAAATGTGAGAGGTTCTCTGTAACATAAAACAGTAGGAGGGGAAAAAAACCTAGGGGGCCATTAGGAATTGTAAAGCCCGATTAATTTTAAATGGATTTCTCCTCGCTCACATTTGCTCGGGCCGACACCATCCATCAGCCAGAGCTCGGTGCGCACCTAACGCCCGGACACCCTCGGCTGCCAGCAGCTGTCCTCGAGCCCGTCGGGTGCCCAGGAGATTGGGGTGTGACCAAATGTGCAGACACCAGGCACCCCACAGGGACCAGTCAGCCTTGGAGAGGAGCAGGGACTGTCCCAGAACCGACAGGCAGGAGCGGGGCAGCCGCATCCCCACGACATCCCCGAGCAGCTCCCCCGAGCTGGCTGCCCCAGCCGAGCAAGGTCGTGCGTGAGCAGGAGCCCAGCTGCTGCCTGCTGCGGCCTTGGGGAGCTCTCACTGCCTCCAGCACGGCTCCGTGACTGCCACGAGCCCTGAGGAACCGTGGCTGTGCCCTCAGGGGAGCTCAGCACCTCCCGACACCGTCTGGGACCAGCGGCCACCACCCCACTGTCTTGTTGGCACGAGTGGGCTCCATTGCTCCAACCAGAAAACCCAGCTCCTAATTCTGGGATTTCAGAGAAAAGGAGATGCGATGTGACAGCTTTGTGATTAGAAAGACAAAAATTAAAACCAAAATGTGCTCTTGCAGCAGAAGCCTCCTGGTGTTATCACCCCAGAGCTTCATCTGCATTGTAATGCAAACCGCGAGGGGGGCACAATTACGCAGTGCTTGCAAACAGGATTATCTTGATAGGAACGGAGATATGTAATCAAAAAACTATTTCCATGTCTCCAAAAATGTGAGTATCTCACAAAGATGGTAATAATGAATTTTAGGCCATAAACACGATCTTCCTCGCTGTATAATCCGCCCGTTTCAAACCCATGTACGTCTAGCAGCTCTATTACAGAAGTAAATTAACCCTAATTTGATTGCTCCTCAGTAGCAGTCATTTCAGCACTCTAATCAATAAGTCACAAGATTTTAAGACTGCCCTTGGTATCAATCACTGCGATCAGTAATAAAATGCTTTTCCTTTTAAGAACACCTGAAATACGGTGTAATTACCTCTGGATAAAATTATGGACTCCAATTCACCAACTCTACTGAGCCACTGCAGCTCAGCCAGCCGTAACCCGCAGTGCTGCCCTGCACCCAGCACTGGTTTGCAGGGAAAGCATCATTTTATTTCTGAAAGGCTTTCCGAGCATCGCCTCATCGCTTTACCTTGTCACCATGCTCCCAAGTTATTGTTCGCACCGGCAAAATAGCGAGTTACAAGAGACACCAATCTCACAGAAATCCTCCAAGAAAGGGAGCTCTGAGATAGTGCCAAGCAGAGTCCGGAGGGAAAGATCTGGAGGCATGAGGAGGACAGTGGGTGCTGCCTGTGGGATGAGTTGGAAAGCCCCCACTCACACCTCCCAGCACTGCTACGGTGTGGAAATGGAGCCAAAGCCACGGCACAGCGGCACGGGCAGCCCCTGCTGCCACAGGAGCGAGCAGCCTGGGGACGTTTGTGGCACTGACCAAGAAGCCCTCAGGCATGGCTGCTCCCACACAACACCCCCCATCCCACACTGCCGCAGAGGAGCAGCAAGAAGCATCCCACAGGGCCACGGCACAGCCCCAGCACCCAGCCACTCTGCGTGGCTGCAGCCCGTTAATCTCCCTTCGGGCTGGCCAGGTTTACGTGCCTGTTCCCAGGTCCCTCATCACACAGAACTCCCCCACCAGAGAGCGCAGCCTGTCCCACACGGCAGAGACTCTCAGCACAGCTCCCTCCTCAGAGGAGGCTGCGGCTCCAGCCGGGTGCCTGGGGGCTGCAAGCTCGTGCTTTCGGGGGAAGCAAATGGTTGGGGAAACGGCAGCAAGGCACAGGCACCAGGCATCAACCAGGGCACCCAAAGGAGGCACTAGAAAAATCTGCCTCGGTTATGGAACAGCCCAGCAGCACACCTGCTCCAAAACTTTCCTTCGCATTGATCTCCCTCCTCTGAGCCATCTCCCCTCCCTCTCACTGCGCACATCTTCCCCAGCCCAGCCAGCTCTGGGACGTTCCTGCATGGCAAAGGATGCTCTGTGCAAACAAGGCACTGCCTTCAGGGTCTGAGCCCTAACTCCCCCTTTCATGCAACCAGAAAAGAGATGAGCTGCCTCCCCTTCTGCCTCCCCTTCTGCCTCCCTGCCCCTCCAGCAGCTTCCCACTGGTCTTGCCAGTGCCACACGGCTCTGGTGTGTCACCCTTGGTGCTCCTGATGGCCACCTGGCACCAGCAGCGAGGTGCCCCCATCACCATCACCAAAACCACTCTCACAGAGCGCCAAGATCCTGCACTGCGCCCCGTGTCAGCACCCCAAAGGTTTGCTCTGGGGACATCGTTTTGTGTCAGCTTGGTTTTGGTTTATAACTGCTTTTAAAGCAATTAAACCGATTTGGGGAAATATTTTAGCTGGGCAGATGTTCAGGCCCAAACAGTTATTCTCACACAAATCGTCCCCAGGGCACGGCAGCGCCGAGCAGAGGACGCGCTCCCCGTCCTTGTGCAGAGCTGTAATTAAAACACCGCTGAGCTGCTGCAGTCATCAGATGGCTCCTGAGCCCGACGCAGCCCGAGGTGCCCTGCCTGCCGCTGACACGGGCCTCGGCACCAGGAGTTTTAAGCAGCTGGAGCAACGTTTTGGTGTCCCTCTGCAAGGACGGTCGCTAACCTGGCAGGTCCCAGCTGCTGCTGACTTACCCTGAAGTCGATCCCAACGGTGGAAATGAAGCTGCCCGCCAGGAAGGCGCCGTCTTTGAAGCGCACCAGCAAGCAGGTTTTGCCGACCCCCGAGTCGCCCACCAGCATAACCTGCGAGGGAGGAAGGGAGGAGCGGGTTAGGCACCATTTCCAGCCCCTCCACAGCAATTTCCCATCTCCATCCCAAAAGCCACATCCCGGGGGCAAGCAGCAGATCCTCATTCCTGATGGGGAGCCCCAGCCAAAAGTCACAGCCCAGAACCCGGGGGGAGGGCAGGGAGCTGCAGCCAGTGCAGTGCTCCAGCAGCAAGCCCCTGCACAGCGGCATCACTTGTGTTCCCTGAGCTGTGCACATCCCTTGTCCAGGACCAGCACAGCCCCAAGGCCACCCTCGATCCTCAGCAATGCCGAGGGAGCAGCTCCTGGTGCCACCTGTCCCCCCAGTGCCTGCCCTGCCACAGGAAACCAAGACAAGGCAGAAACCGTTCCCTAACACAGCCCCAATCCCGAGCCCTCTGCCCCCCGTGGGTGCCGACCCCATCCCTCGGGGCAGGCTGACAGCTTCTCACGGCAGAGAAACCCCGGGCTGCACAACCAAGCTGCATTCGCAGCTTCTGCACCTGCTCCCTTCGGCACGGCTTCGCGCGCCCGTGGCACGGTTCCATCTCCCTGAGCCCGACTGCCATTATCCTTTCAGAAGTCGTTAGCCCATGAATGAATTTAAATGGTTTTAACTCAGGCGCTGCCCTGGGTCAAACCAAGCCCACGCAGCAGCCAGCAGCAGCAGCAGCCTCTGCCACGGACTCCGCAGGTGTAGCCCATTTGGGGGCTCGGTTTTGGCTCCGTCCCCGCAGCGCACGGCCCCAAGGGCAGGGGGCCCTGCAGCAGGTGTCCTGTGGGATCCCCACACACAGCCCCGCTCTGAGCTCTGGTGCAAGGTCAGGGAAACCAAGACATGTATGTACGTGAGTCCAAGCAATGGTGGGGAAAAAGTCATTTTTTAGTCCAAAATAGTGGTGCTGATATTTAGTTAAACATTCCAGATACCTGCCTTGGAGCAGAGCCACCCCTAAAGTGCACTGCTCCCTGCTCAGCACCGTTCAAGCCCCACGCAGGGACCTGCAGCCAGGCTCCTGCCAAGGGCTTGGCCATCAGGATCCAGCCCCGTGCCGTGTGGTGGGCTGCTGTTGTTTGTGGCAGAGCTCAGGAGAGGGATAAGGGAAAGTTTATTGGATTGGGCTTTCACCAAACACAACATGGGCTGTCAAGTGTTTGAGAAGCACCCAGACCAATACCAGAGGGTTTTTCTTTGGGTTCCTTTGAGACCCCAGCCAGGGCTGGTGAGAGGCGAGCTCGGGGCCAGCATGGATGCAGAAGGGCTCCATTTCAGAGACGCTGTTGAACTGTTACTGCAGCTGTACCAGAGACCACCTGCCTACCAAACCAGCCAAATCCACTTCTCAAACACCCATCACCGCCTACTCCACATCCCAAATCTTAACACGCCGTGGCCATGCGGATGGCCCCAGGCAGCGAGCTCTCTGGCACAGCATGCCAAGGCTTGGACCGTGCCATAGCAAACACCGTCTTCCTCGCAGCTTAATCCCCCACGCTCGGTTATGAAGATCTGTGCTAGAAATGCAGTCAGATGGGTTGCACTGAATTACAGCCTCAGCCAAAATCGGTAAGAGAGCTCCAAGATGGGCTTGCATCAGGTCGTGTGATGGAGGGGGGGTGCAGATACATTTGATCTGCGAGTTGCCAGAATCTCAAGCAGCAAGAAGAAGCCATCTGAGCCCTTAAAAGAAAGCATAAGCTGGAGACATTTCAACGGCAGCCAGCGCAGATTCGATGCGATTCAAGGAATACCGTCAGCCCGGCTTATAACCTGCTTTTTTTAACGTTGTTAGAGAGGAAGCAGAAGGGTACAGTCGCTAAGCCGAGCCAAAAGCCTTTTAGCACCACTTGCAAAAGTTCAGCAGCAGCCGCGGTGCGGAGGGATGTGCTCGCAGCTCGTCGTGCCGAATCCCGGGCGCCCCGGGCAGGGGGGGGGAGCGCCTCCGAGGCACCCTGCGGGGCCGAGAAAAAGGACGAGAAGGGGAAAGCGGCGGCCCCGGAGGAGCGGGGGCTCGGAGAGGGGCTCGGAGGGGGCGCCCCCCACCCTCTCCATCCCCGGGGAACTTCTCGGGCACGCACGGCGCTGCCCCGGCCGCTCCGCTCCGCACCCCCCGGTCTCTCCCCGAGCCCCCCCAGGCTGTCCCCGCCCGGCTGCTCCCCCCCAGGCCCCCCGCACCTTGAAGGCGAGGTCGTAGAACTCCCCGCTGCTGCTCAGCGAGGGCCGCCCGGGCGCAGCGCCGCCGTTGCGGGGCAGCTCGGGGGCGGGCGCGGGGCTCCGGGGGGGGGCGGCGGCGGCGCGGCCGGGCCCCTGGGCGGCGGGGGGCAGCGCGGCCGAGGGCGCGGCGCCGCCACCCTTGCTCCGAGCCGCTTTCTTCCGCGACATGCCGCGGCCGGGCGCTGAGGGCGCGGGGCTGTGCCACCGCCGCCGCTCAGCCGCCTCCCCGGCCCGGCACGGCTCGGCTCGGCACGGCCCGGCCCGGCACGGCCCCGCTGCCAATGGCAGCGCCGCGGGGGCGGCGGCGGGGGCCGGGCCCGCTCCGCTCCGCACCCGCTCGCTCCGCCCCGGCCGCGCTCCGCGGGGCGCCCGCGGCCGCGCTCCGGTGCGCGCAGAGCCGAGCCGAGCCGTGCCGAGCCGTGCCGAGCCCTGCTGTGCTGAGCCGAGCCGAGCCGTGCCAAGCTGTGCAGAGCCGTGTAAAGCCGTGCAAAACCGTGCCGAGCCCTGCTGTGCCGAGCCGAGCCGTGCCAAACCGTGCCGTGCCGTGCCGTGCCGTGCCGGGGAGCGGGGAGAGGAGACCGCAGCCCCCCGTGGGGACCGGCGCTGGGGCAGCGCAGCGAGCCCCGAGCTGTGCCCGGTGTCCCCGAGCCGTGCCCGGTGCCCCCCGCGATGCACAGCGGGGGCTGAGTGCGGCCCCCCGGCAGGGCAGGGCTGGGGGTCGCTCCCCACATCCCCCCCCACATCCCTCAGCAGGCGCAGAGCCGGCCGCAGGTGGGCATTTGGGTGATGCAGGCACGGAGCAGACACCGCGGGCAGGTCCCGTGCGGGGAGTTTTGGGGTGCGAGGGGGGCGCGGAGCGGGGCAGGGGCTGGCACAGCACGGCCCGGGGGGCGCACGGGGCACAGGGGGCTGAGGCACGGGCCGGCGGGGGCTGCTGCTACTGGGGGGGGAACTCGCATTGTCCCCAGTCTGTCTCAGCAACTGGTTTCAGCGAGCAACACTTTGCATCTTTCTTTCTGACTGCAAATGAAGTGTCACCTGAGGCAATTGCAATGCTCTCAACTGAAATAAATGTCTTTAGCTATGTGACATATTTCCAGTGGCGCGGTCTTATCCTTCCTGGAAAAGGAGGCTTGAGCAGTCATATCGAAGCAAGAGTGGAAAATAAATCTCTCTGGTGAGAAGCCAGGCAGGCACACAATGAAGATGTAAATAAGTAACAGCACTTGCACAAGACCGGGAGGAGCTGATGGCCAAAACAAAGGGGCTCAGGCAGGCTGGGAAAGCTGGAACCAAAGCCAGAGTCCAGATGCCCACCACGGTGATGCCAAAATGTTGCTCGTGCTGTGGCCAGGATGAGCTTTTCCCTTTGCTTCCCCAGGAGTGGGCACAGGAGCAGAGCTGCACAGATGGATGAGGGTACCCCCATCCCCCAAGGCTCCTCTCCTCCCCTCCTGGGCACACAACACCTGCCCCTGCTGACGTTTCCATGTCTGTGCCGGAATAGCTCTGCCAGGGGCATTTAAACCTGATGTTAATCCATCTCCCAGTGGGGGAAAAGCAGAGAGCAGAGCTCTGGCTGCTTCCCCCATGGATGAGGGAGACAAGCTGGGGTCAGGAGCTCTTGTGCCTGGGTTCTGGGCAAGATCCCACTTCTCCCCCCCTGAGCCTCCTGCACGGCTGGAGGAGCTCTGGGCTCCCACACACAGGACCAGAGAAAAAGCTTTCACGGCAGAGGCTTATCCACCTCATCTCGCTTTCTTCCTCCTGATGATCCATCTGGGAGATGGAAGACCTGACTTGTCAGAGCAGACTTGATGCCAAGGTTTTGCTCTATAATCTGATTTTCCAGGACAGCTGCAGTCAATAGAGGCCGAGGCCTTGGAGCAAAGTGCAATGCTGGAGCCATCTATGGGTCTGTCGGATTTTTAGCGTGTCCCTGTGCAGTGACAAAGCTGGCATGGAGCACTTCCCTGCCTGGGAAAGGGGGTGTGCAGCCCCCAGCACCCTCGGGGCAGCCTCCCGGGAGACCAGCGCTGCTGACGCACGAGGACTTTGCTTTTCCCCCTGCTCTCAGCCACAGCTGATGGTGATGGAAATCTTGAAGAGCCTCGTGCTCACGAGCAAACAAAGCCAGCTGCTTATCACGGCCGCATCAGAGCAACACTGTACGAGGATGGCCCCTTATCGAGGGCGGCAGCAGGGAAGCGTGCTGCTTGCTGCTGCCCTTATCAAAGGTCGCGTGCTGCAGAGCTGCCAGCGGGGCTGATCCCGCTGCCCCCAGCCCCAGGGCTCAGCCTTGTGCAGTGCCACAAGCACTCAAAGCAGCACGGCCACGGGAGAAGCACCTCCAGCAAGTTTCTCTCCTTCAGAAAATGTGTGTGAAGAGGCACAGCCTGCTCACAGATCTCAGTCATGCCTGGAAATGTTGTTCCCCGTATAGTTACAGGAACTAATCAGATAACTGCAGCTGAAATAAGGGGAATGTATTTGCTAAAAATAGATTAATGGAACAACACACGCCTGGAGATACGGCGTGCCTTGGGGAAGCAGGACTGCGGGATCTGGCAGGGATCTGAACAGGGCCAGCAGCGATGGTGGCTATTTGCTACTCTGGTATACCTACGCCTGAGCAGATTTGTTTTTAAAGGCAGAAAATCAGCTCATCCCCATCAGGGCTGCTAGCCGAGGAGGCTGTTTGTGGCACTGCATTTTGGGTGTTTCTGTCCGCCTTGGGCAATGCACACACACATCCCCATGGCAGGGCCTGCCTGTCCAAGGAGTTATGAACGAGCTCATTAAGGATGGCACCTGCTTTCTGCTCAGCCTCCCCCACCTGGGGACAGAGCTCTGCGCAGAGCTGGAGACATGAAGATTGGGGCTGGGGCTGGGCACCGGCTCTGACCAGCTGTTCTGCACGAACACTGCACTTTGGGGGTTTAAATCTAGCTGCTTTCTCCGAGATGGAAATTTGCAGGGTTCTCTGTGTGCCAGAAGCTGCACGCTGTGCTCGTAGCCAAGCGAGAGATTTCAGCAGGAGGCCAGCCCTCCTTCCTCCCGCCGGCCCAAGCTGCTCCGTCCCTGGCTCGTGCTGCAGCAGCTCCTGTGCTCTCCTGGCCTCAACTGCTCCTCGCCACAGCAGCAGCCCCCAGGCACTGCCCCCCTGGGCAGGGACACCCGCCTTGTCCTCACCAGCATCTGCCGATGCCTTTCCCAACAGCCCGAGCCTGCTGCTCTCTCTCCTACTTTGTTGCCGGCTCAGGCGGAGCGGAGTTGTGTCTGCAGCAGGAAGGCTGCAAGGACGAGCTATTCCCATCGGAGACGATGTCAGCTGCACTGTCTTGGAAGATATTCATCTTCTTTGCCTGGTGCCCTGGCAGCTGCAGGAGAGCCGGTGCAGGCTCTTTCCATGCTCTGCTCGTAGCACAGCTCAGCCTGCTCTGCTCTCACCTATTGCAGTGCCTCCAGCCAAGGTTACGGGGACTCCCCCCCCAGTCCCTTGTAAACCCGGTGTCCCTTCTCGCTTTCTCTACTGCTACAGATCATTTGCCGAGGGCAAACAGCTCTGACTCTAAAGTCTTAGAGGTGTTGTTTAGAAAGGACCTGAAGGCATGGACAGCACCTGGACGGGAGGTGCAGGCAGACAGAGGTGACACCGCGGTGCCAGGGCCAACACATCAGGCACGGTGCTGTCCATGCAGGCGTGACAGAGCCTGGGCAATACACCAGGAGCTCAGCCTCGTGTTGTGCACAAGCACACAGACCTCCACCAGCTGTCAGACAGCTGGGACACCCTCCTTCAGGAGCACCTCTGCCTCCAGAGCAGTGCCCATTCACAAGAGGCACGGAGATGTGCTGGGAGTGGGCACAGGACACGCGTGGTGCTGGGGACCACGGCTCCTGCCACGCTGGGTGAGTCGAGCGCTTTCCCTCTGCCTGCATGGAAGGGTCCCAGCCCACACAGAGCTGAGCAGTCATTGTTCCCTTCCTCGCCACTTATTGTTCTTCCCTCCCCATTGCTCACTTACCTCTGAGCACTTCAATCTTGTTGCCTTTGTCAGTGTTGCTGGCTTTTAATTGAAATTCCTCAGACATCTTCTCATCAATGCAGCCCATCAGTTATTTTTGTGTGGGAAGCAATTGTTTTCCTTTTGCAGCTGTGAAAGTTAAATTCCAATGTTTTGCTGGGAGACTGTTTTTGTCTCTTCCCTTTCTTATATTGCCAAGTCAAGTCTTATATTGCAAACCTCCTTCCTTTGTCTGGTTATTTCGTTTTCCATCTCTTCTGCGCGCAGTCCCTCTGTTTCCATCCTTGGCTCCTTAGCTTCTCCCTGTGATCTGTCCCGAAGGGCAGCTTCCACCTGCTCTTCGCCCACCCTTCATCACCGCTGTTTCCCCGCAGAGCACACACACACCAAACCCTGGGCACCAGGAGCCTGGGAGCTCAGCCTGTTGCCCAGTCTGTGTTTCCTGGCATTCAAACCCGTAATTTATTCACGGGGCAGGTCCTGTTTAACGAGCAGCACTGCGTTGGCCTCCCCTGCCTGGCACTGCCCGAGGGCTCTGCGCTGCCTCTGCTGCTGGTGGGACCCCAAAAGGGCTGGGGTCAAAGCTGCCACCTGCCCCCCCCAGCCCTGCAAGCAGCCCCTGCAGGCTGCCAAATTAACACCTCACACACATTGCTGCTTTTGGAGCAAGTGGTGGAAGTGGCAGCAGCCCCCAAAGGGCTCAGTGGATGATGGAGCAGGTTAGACACCGTTATCCCAGCACGTGCAGCCCAGAGGCAAAGCCTGGGTGCTCCTTTGCCCACAGAAGTGCCCCATTAGCCCATGTCGCTTCTCCAAAAGGCCAAGGCAAGAGAAGAAAACATCTTTCCTGGCAAGCCCCTGCCGGTGGCAGCACCAAAGGGGGCTCAGTCCCCTCCTCCCCAGGGGGGCAAGAAGCCCTCAGTGGTCCCAGCTGCCTGCCCTGGTGCCTGCACATTGGGCACAGCTTCCCCGCTGCCCCTAGGGACGGGGCACTGGCAGCCTGGGGTTACCCATACACAGCACCCAAGGCAGGAGCTGTACCTGGGGCAAGCCTGGCTGCTGCAATGAACTGCAAAACAAACCACAGCAGACACACAGAGCCCTTGCACCTGAAGGGCTCTGCTCCCTGCCAGCAGGGTGCCGGGGTGCAGGGGCTGCCTCGGCAATTCCCCATGGGCATCCCCAGGGAACGGCGCTGCTGCCCCGCGCCCCCACCCGCCCCTTCTGCGCACAACAGGGTGATCGTGCCAGATCCTAATGAGCCTGGACTGGGCCGAGGCCAGGAAATTAATTTTACTTGTGCCAAGACAGAAATGAGCCAAGATTTCAGCCGGTGGAGGACTGAGCGCATGAGAGCCCTCGGCCCGGCTCTGCTCCAGCAGTCACCCACGAGAGCTTTCAAATATGATGAAGTCGGATATTCAAAAGGCCTTTGAAATGTGTCCTATGGAGAGAGAGAGGAGGCTGAGTAACAAATGCTCAGCCTCCAAAATAAAAGACACTTTCAAGCTATTTGGTATATTTTAAATGCTTTCCTGACATGCCTCAGTGACATCAAATATTTCAGAAATATCTTCTAATATCTCATCTTAAAACCATCCAAGATATTTTGTACAGAGCCATCCTGCAACGGGGAAGGGTTGGAATGTGGTTATAGTTTCAAAAGCCGGTGTGTAAACACCACACGGCGTGACCTTTATCTGCGCACTCAGCCGTTCCCAGCAGGGATGGGGTTGTGCCGGTCGGGCCAGGGCCAGCAGCAGCAGCCCAGGCTCTCGCCCTCCTCACGGGACCAGCACCTGCACTTGGCTCAGGTCCCGCTGCCGTCTCGGCTGGGGCTGTGTTCCCAGGGCCCCGGGGTGCTGCAGGGCACGCTCGGGTGCACGCTGCGTGCAGGAGCAGCAGCAGGATGCAGGGTGCGGGGATGGCCAAGGCTCGGCACCTCTGGGTGCAGGCAGCACCGTGAGCGCTGGGGGGCTGCTTATCCTCCTACATGCAGGTCAGGGAGAGGAGGGACCGAGGGGTGCTTTCTGCTGCACCATCAGCAGGACCCAGCCTCTCACCCTCAGAGGCAGAGCCCCCAGAGCTTGAGCATTTTACCCCCAAAAACTCATCTTTTGCCATCTGCAGCTCAGGCGTTACAGACCCAGAGATACCCCGGGCCAGCCACAGCTCAGCCATGTGTGCAGCGCTCTTTGGGGCCCTGTAAAATAACAAGCAGCCCTAATGAGCTAGCACGGCAGCGTGCAGAGGCTCATAAAGCTGCTGCTCCAGAGGACGAGTCAGCTGCTCAGTGCCAGGCCCGGGAAGCAGCTCCTGCTGGAGCAAGCCATCGCATCACTGCTCGCCGTGGGCTTGTCCGCGCTGTCCCCTCACCAGCAGGGGAAAAGCAGCTTCACCTCCTGCTCCTGGCTGTTGTGAGAGCTTTGTGTGAGCTGGCTGGGGCAGAGCTACATGCTAGGGAGGTGCAGGGCTGTCCCCAGGGCTCGTTCAGCCACCCGTTGGGACTAAGGGGTGGCAGGTCACCAACAAGAGGCAGGCAGCGCCAGGCAGTAGTTATCAGCCCAGGAGCAACGCACCTGCAATGAGTCCTCATGGTCTGAGCTGTCAGCAGGTGGCATTGCTCCAACTAATTAATAATCTGGGCTATGAAGAAGCATCTCGGAGCTTTAATAATGTTTGTTAATGCTTTCTGAGGAAGGCTTAGCACTTCCACCCAGCAAAACTCCAGTAAGTTTGGGCAATTAGTTTTATCTTGAAGATGACAATGAGCGAGCAGCATGAGCAGCCCAGAGCCAGGCGTTGCAAGGCACCCTCAGCTCTGCAATGTAATCAGCTTCGATAGAGCCACTCAGCCGGCATCTTCTTGCCTACCATTTTCTGTGATTTTACAATTTCCTGGTTTGTTTAAAAGCGTTTCTTCTTTATTGCTGGAAACATCTTCTTCCCCAACAAAGCTAAGGGTTGTCCTGGTCCTGCAAACATTTTGTCTGCAAGCAATTTGATTTGCATTAGCTGTCCTTCTGCAATCAGAGGGACTAATCACATCTGAAAAGCTGCGCACATGTGTAAGTGATCAGGCCTGCCTGGGGAAGGCATGGAGCGAGGCACAGCCAAATGCAACCAGCTACAGCCAATTCACAGCAAAAAAAAAGCTGCTGGCAAGTGAATTCTCCAAGCTGGCTTCTCAAAAGCAATCCCATTGTGGTGCAGCGGATCCTTCCCTGCCAGCCCTTCTGAGAACAGCCTCCGGGCTGCCAGTTCCTGGCCTTCACCAGAATTCAGCAAGTCCAAAGGCTCTGAATGCACATTTCTGCCTCCGCTGGCTGCCTTCTGGCTTCAGCTTCATCAGCACTAATTAGCACAGAGAAGTTTTATTCGCATCATCGCATTAAAAGGCAATAGCTTTTGAGGAACATCTGAGTGAAAAAAAAAATAAAAATCATATTTTCCCAAGTTTTCAAATGCACAAGTGTAACTGGAAGCCTGCTGCCAAGGGAGGCTGAGGCAGAGGGCCTGCGGGAGCAGCTGCAGATGTGGTCCTGGGGGATGCCTGTGCATGGGGACGTGCTCAGCACTGCTGAGCTCCCGATTCAGTTCTGTCCTTGTGTGTAAATTACTCCATGAGAAGGGAGAGAGGGCGATGCCAGGACCAGTGGGTGTGAGTGGGGAACAAGAGGGGAGACCGCTTCCTAAGGCCCCTGCAGCAGGGAGCGAGCAGCTCCAGCCCCTCCCTGGCTTTTTACCCAGCTGAATTTGCCCCAATTACAAACACCAGCCCCAGCACTGAGATATCTCCTAATGGTGTGTGGACACCAGCATTGCTCTAACAATGAGCAGGAACAGCAGCAGTTCGGGGGAGCCGTGCTGAGGTTGGATGGGTGCTGGTCACATCCCATGGTCAGCTCCGGTGCCACTGCCCAGGGCACCTGCACCCTGCACCCGTGGCCAGCCTGAGCTCAGCAGCAGCATTCCCTGAGCTGCAAAAGCCTGGAACTTCAAAACCTATTGAGAGAGGAATCATGACATTTTGTTTGCTTTGAAAGAGCGTTGGTAAATAAAACCAGAATCGCCACCAATTAAGTTACTGAGCAGAAAGCGTTGTCACTGAAACCACTCGGCTCTGGTTTGCATTCACGCTATGTCAAATGGATGAAAATGATCAGCATGAATAAATTCACTTCCTGAGCTGAAACTGCCCACAAAACTCATCCGGAATAAGCCCAACGGGGGCATGTGCTGGCACTGCTGACTCAGCTCAGCCTCGTGCAGCTGAAAACCCCGCACAAAATGACAGCCCCGTGCCTCGCTGGCGAGCATCACCCTGAGGACAGCCGGGACAGGGGGTCCCTTTTCCAGGCACCCGAGGAGAAGCTGGGGGACACCATGGATCCCACCCAGCTGTGGGCACCGTGCTGTCAGTACAGCAGGGCCAGGCTAACACATCCTGACCTCATTTGCTGCATCCTGTGCCCAGCAAGTGCAGGTGGGCAGCTGGGAGCCCTCGGGCAGGGAGATCATGGCTAAATTCATCCCTTGTGGATTAAATATGTTTGGGATAGGGGTTGAGACGCCCCTGCTCCTCGTGGCTAAGCCAGGACTAACCACCCCACACGGTCCCAGGCTGCGAGATGCAGGCAGCAGGGACTGTCCTGGTGCTGTCCTGGGGTGTGCAGCCGTGCAGGAGGAGGCTGAGGGCAGGAGCTGGGACCTTCAGCAGTGCGGTGTCACTGATAGGGACAGGCAGGGTGTCTGTCTGTCTGTCTGAGCTCCCTTTGCATCTGGCTGTAGTGCGCATCTGCTCGTGGGGCCTTGCAGGTTTTTTTCACTTTTTTTTTTTTTTTTTTTTTTTTAAGCGACGATGAAGGCTGCGAGGAGGGCAGCCCGGCGGTACTAGAGGGCGCCACGCGTTCACAAACCAAACCCAGCCGAGGAGTAACTGCAGCGCAGAGCTCCAGCCCGGAGGATGCTTTTTTTTGGGGGGGAGCCCACTCTCGGCTCACCCAGGGGGTGCTTCGCGCCCCCCACAGCTCTCAGCAGGGCTGAGCCACGCAGGAGACACCCAGGCTGGGATTTATTGCACCAACACTATGGAGGTGGTGAGTTCCTTGCTTTTAATTTTCAGCCCTATCCAAAAGGTGCCAAGAGGAGCAGCTGGTGCCAGGGAATGTCTGTCACAGGTCTCAGCATCACCGCACCAAGGCACAGGACCAGCAGTTATGGCTCATGATATGAAGTCAGCTAAAGAGCCCTGTAAAAGAAGAACAAATGTAGATCAGCGGTGGCAAGTGTGATATAACAGAGGATAACAGCTCAGCTGTCCTCTCCCCCCGGCCTTCTAGGCAAGCAGAAGTATTGTGTCTGGATGAAAGGCAGTGGAGCATGAGGTTGGCTGCAGTCATCTGGTCGTGGATAGCAGCTGGGGAGCGCTTTGCTGGCAGGCAAAGCAGGAGCCAGGCCTGGGGGGCAGGAGATGACTTTTCTGGGGGTCGCTGCAGGTTGCCCCGTGCAGGACTGGCTGTAACACTTGTGCAAACGTGTGTGGAACACAGCCCCAAAGCAACAACCTGCAGGGATGGAGGCAGCTCCCTCCCCCTGCAGAAATGGAAATCTTCATCTCCTCGGAGGTACTTGTCCCAGGTAAAGGCGAATGGGAAGCTCTTACCCCATGGACATCTACTGAGGGCAAGCTGTGCAAGCAGGGAAATAATGGCAAAATGAGCAACGTGGCCATACATTAGCACAGCTGCCCTCCAAAGGGCCCGAAGGCTGTGACAAGAGGGGCAGAAGTTTAGGAGGAGGCTATTTTCCTGCTTTCTTTGAACCACAGCCAAGGTATGGCATTTGTGTGCTGCTGCTGGGGTCTCGGGGCCGTCGGTGCCACCGCAGACATCTGGGGAGCTTTGGGCTCTGGCTGGAGGCAGCGGGGACAATCCCAGCTGGCCGCAGCCCCGTCACGTTCTGCTGACCACAGCGTGTCTGCTGCTGTGCTGGGTGCGTTCAGCCCGCATTGCTGGTGGGACAGGGAGAATTAACACCCTCTGAGTTGGGTTTTAATTCTACTTCGAGTAAACAGTATTGAGAAACTCGCCATCCTCCTGCCAGGAGGAGGGACCAGAAGAATCCCGTCCCCACCAGAAGCCCTTCCCCGCCTCGCAGTGAGCAACAGCCTCCCGGCCCCCGAGTACATTTTCCACTTCCATCATTTTCCGCAGTCTGCGTTTTAAAATCCATCCCAGCTCAGCAATGAGACCTTCCTCCAAGATCAAAAATTATGGTTCAATGTGAACAAATTGTTGTCTTGCAACTTGATCAGGATTTGCTGTCTCTTTTCCCACTCACTCAATTATTTCCTTGTTTGCTGCCCTCATTACAGCTTGGCAGCCCCAGTGTTTGGGGGAGAGCCCTTAACCTCATTATATCCGCTGGATTACATTAGTGATCTAATCTGCTGACATTTTCTCCTCGCTGTTATCTTAAGAAATATGGACATCAGTGCAGAAGATTAGGGAAGAAAAACAGAAAGCAATTTACAATTGAGGGAGCGGAAATAAATACATGGTAGTCACATGAGGAAGTAGTAACCGCTGAGCTATTTTGGGCACAATACATCACGCAGAAGACGATGTGTCTTTACAGTAGATTTCAAGTCCAAAAGGCACAAAATGTTTTCAGAAAGTAAATTCTCACATACATTAAGCACCATGCCAAGGAGTGAAATCAGACACTGTCAGGCTTCTTATTTAAGGCTCGTACAGCATTTGGGCGAGGAAATGCAGAACCCCAGCTAATACAATCTACTGTCGCTCCTCTGCTTTCGACAGGATGACAGACACACCTCCAGCCAAGCAGGCACTGATGGGCTTTGTTGGGTCCAGACCATACCCACAGGTAGAGCAGAGGGGCAGCGAGCAGCTCTGCCGGCACAAAGCTTCACAGCCCTCAGCGGGCGTACACCAGGGCTCACAGGTCAGTCCCTAGAGAAGAAGGACAGCAGTGGTAGCAGGCTCAGGCTCACATCACCCCAAACAATTGTTCTGGTTCCCTGTTGCTCACGCCGTTCAGATGCTCGGACAGCCAGCACCTCTCTCTCCCACCCCTTCTGTTGTGGTTACTCCCCGGAAAGCTCCCAGGCAGATTTCCTGAGCCCCAGAGCTGACAGAGCCCCACCGACACAACGCCTGCGGTAGTGTCAGGATGGCAGCCCCCCAGCACGCTCGCTGCCCGGCTGCTGGAGAGCACAGGGTGGTGACAGAGCCCCCCAGCAAGTGGGCAGCCCCCACAGGGCAGGAGGCTCTGGGAGGACGCCAGCCTCGCTGCGCTTTGCAGGCAGCTTTGGACAAGAACAAAGGGCCTTTTGCCTGGGCAGCTGGCTGGTGGAGGGGTGCGACACCTCTCCAGGTGAGTGACTGCCTGTCACCCATCCAGCCCCTCTCCCTGAGAGCAGGATTTCTTAGATGGCAATTGCTGCCGCAGCTGTGATTGCACAGACTTGGCTTCAGCTGCGGCTTCAGCTGTGCACGCGGGCGGTCCCAGGGGCTCCTGTGGGCACGCTCGCATGCTTGGCAGCAGGGCTGAGCTGTGATTTCCTGTGCTGAACTTCAATGTTAGGTATAAATATTTTAAAAGGTACAAAGGGCCGCAAGAAGTAATGTAGTTGCATTAAAAAAAAAAAAAAAAAAAAAAAAAGTTTATAGACAAAATGCTCTTGTTCTTATTTAGTAAAACCCCTGCTGAAAGTCTTGTCCAGATCTGCAAGTCTTCCAAGGAGAAAGTGTCTTTGGCTGGCACTTCATACATGAGCTCAGTAACACCTGGCTCTGGGGGATGTGCAGGACTTTTTGCACCACCTTTGGGTCCAAGCCCCTCAAATTTCCCTACCCCAGCCTCTTGGCCTGTGGGGGCAGACCCTTGCCCGCTGCTTCCCCCCAGGCTCCTCTGCCTTTCTCAGCAGCCTGGTGCCACGCTGCGAGCCATCCCTGCTGGGCAGGAGCTGATGGCTCTGGTCTCCAAAGCGATGCGGCACTGGAGGTGGCGAGCAGTTCAAAAGCAATCATTTCTTCCATTCCACGTGTTATCTGACCATCCGTCCATCCTCCTCGGCTGATGGCTGGGGCCACGCTTTGCACACACACACACACAAACACAAGCAGCACTGGAAGCCCAATGTCCCCATTACAGCACCGGGCAGCGCCTGCCCCCACCTCTCCACCACCCCCAATTTTACCAATTTTACCAATTTTACCAATTTTACCAATTTTACCAATTTTACCACCGTGCCCTAGGTGTGTAACACGCACCCTGCAGCCCGGCCAGGATGCAAACCCACCAAATTGTGACCCCTCAGCACCGTGCACAGCCGGGGGGGCAGGCGACCCCCGTGCTGCCCTCGGGGGGAGGCAGAGCTGCCCGGGGGGGGCCCGGGGGTGCCGGAGGGAAGCAGGGAACGGGGGCTCCGTGCCCGGCGCTGGCCCTGCTGGGTGTAGGGGGGGCAGTGGCTGCAGCACCCCCGTACCCCGCAGCTCCCCCCCCAGCTCCCCGCAGCTCCCGGCGGCGCCGGGGCCGGGCGGGGCGGGGGCGGGCGGCGGGGCTGGAGCGGCGCCGGGTTTCCGCCGGGCGGGAGGCGGAGCGGGAGGCGGCGGGGCCGCGGCCCGGGCGGAGCAGCGCGGCACAGCCGAGCCGAGCCCAACCGAGCCGAGCCGAGCCGAGCCGGGCGGTGCCGGGCCGGGGCTGTCAGCAGCAGGGGAGAACCCAGCGGGGGCCGGGCCGGGCCGGGCACCGCGGTGGGAGCTCAGCGCAGCCCTGCGGGGAGGCCGCTATGCCCGGGGGGTGCTGAGCCGGGCGGAGCGGGACCGGGACGAAGCGGGACAGCGAGGAGAGGAGCAAAGCAAAGCTCGGCCGGGCCCGGGCCGGGCCGGGCCGGGCTGGGCCGGGGGAGCGGCGTTGCGGGGCCATGCCATGCCCGTAGGGAGAGATGCCTTTTGGAAATGGAGACACTGGATCACAGCGCAAACATGGCGTCCCCGCGGCGCGGCTGCCCCTCTCGGGCTGGTGCCTGCTCTGCTCCCTGCTGTGCGGGGGGCTGGCGGCCGGCAGGACCCCCCCCACCCCACCCCCGGCCCCCTCCTGCCAGCCCTGCGCCGCCGACTGTACCTGCACCGACGGCCGGCCCGGCGCCGCCTGCATCGCCAACTGCTCGGCACGGGGGCTGCAGCGCCCCCCAGGAGCCCCCCCGGCCGCCACGGCCCTGTGAGTACCGCGGGGGGACGGCACCGGGACACCCCGGGGAATTTGGGCCCGGCTGCGGTGCTGGGGGGCGGGGGGGGGGACGGGTGCTGGGAGCCCCCGCACGCACCTGGGGGTGTGCGGCCAGGGGCTGGTCGCATCTAATGTGGCCGCCCCCCAAGTGCTGGTGGCCCTTTGGGGCGAGTGAGACCCTCCCGGAGACCCCCCCCGGGTGGTGGGGAGCAGAGATGCCCGTGGGGATATCCAGGGGAGCCGGGGGTGTTTGTGGTGCTGGGGGCTGCGAGGCAAAAGGGGATGGTAGGGGAGAGCTGTGGCATGAAATGAGCAGCTGGATGTGGCTTAAAGGTTGTGCTCGAATTAAGTTTAAAGGACTCGGTTCAGAAGTTCAAATCAAAATCCTGTGATAAAAGTGCGAGAATGGGGTGACCGCTGTGCTTGTGTCCTGGTACTGACTGGGAACACCAGCCCCAAAGGTGTGTGTCTTGGAGGGGTGTTGGAGCGCTCTGTATGCACAGTCCCTTCAATATATACTGTGTGATGTGAAAAACAGCAAGGGGAAAAGTTGTGGGGTTTGTTTCTTTTCTTTTTTTCTTTTTTTCTTATTTTTTTTTTTCAATCTAAATTTGCTCTATATATGGAGTAACTTTCCTCTTCTTGAGGACGCAAAAGCTTTGAGTGATTCATGTAGGAAAGATGACGTAGGGTCCGGCATGATGGAAGAATCTCCCTTGAACTAATTTTTGCTGGTATTTCAATAAGTTAAACGTCTGCTTTTCTGCTTTTCTCTAAGTTTCCACTTTGTAGTGTCAATATAGATTGACAAATATTGCAGAAGTCATAAATACCACAGAAAACAGTAAATCAGCAAGATGTATCTTGATTAACTTCGGGAAAACACCCAACCTGCATGTCCAGCAGATGAGGTGTTTTCCAAGTGTTTACTTACGTGATGTATTTTGACTTTTCCAAAGAAAACCATTGTTTTGTGCAGAAAGTCCCTAACTGGGAGAGGCTGACTTTTATCTAGGGCTTTCTGAGGTTGCGTTATCTGTTGTCAGTTAGACTTCTGGATCTGCTGCTCCGGAGGGTGAATGTGCTGTTGCAGCAGAGGTGGAACGTGCCAGGGCTTTGCTGGTCACTTGTCGAGCAGCCTTCTGAAGACTGCCTGTGATAGCTCGCTCCTTTGGCTGCTTAAGGATTTGGGGTTATTACAGTGTGTTTCTAGGCGTATTAATTGTGGTAGTAAGTGTTTGAGACTGCTTATGTTACTGTCGTTCAAAGGTGTTGAGTTATAAAAGCTCCCAGACCATTTAGGATTGGATCCTGTTATGCAATGACAAATTGATGGTAGACATAAAGCTTAGGCAGGTCAACAAAAAGTGTCCAGAGTGTGGGAAGCGGAAAGCTACTAAAGCAAATCGACTGAAACTGCAGGGTGGCATTACTGATGTTTTCTTCCATTTTTAATGGGGAGATAACTGTTTACAGTGCTGGTGAGAACAGTGTGTTAAGGTTAAGGGAAGAGCTTTGCTCCGCTGAGGAAGGGCCATCAGCCTGTAGTGGACGGATGGTGAAGTCCCTCGTCAGCCAGCTGATCGTCTGCTGCGTGTAGTCACAGCTCAGCTGAAAAAACATGCTGCTAATCTTCTAGTGACTGGTGAAGATGTGCTGAAGTGGTCTGCTGTGGCACGCAGGTGTCCTCTGGGGAGCAGTTCACTTCCCTGGTTGATCTCCTGGCAATGAGAAAGAAGGCAGGTGCGCTTAGGGTGCTGTTACAGCCATGAAATATTTGCAGATGAATTTTGGTTGGGGTGAGAGGGACGCTGGCTCATGACAGAGTGAGGTTATGCAACTGCTTTTATCTACGTATTTCATATTTCTTTTATTGAACACCATTAAATGAGGTAAATAATGCTTTTAATAATTTGCTGCCTGTCCTCTCATTAGAGGAAAAAAATTATATCTCCACAAAATATTGCTGCTTTATTACCCTGAAATGAAAACAGCCTTTAAGAAGGCAGAGTTCAGAAAATTACCGTCACCGAAGCTCCCTGATTCTGCAGCAGGCGTGTGCCAGCGGTTGCACTAAGCAAACGTGACAGCGTGCCACACTGTGCAAGTAAGGCCTAGGAAATGAATTCCTCTTGTATCCGGCATCGCGGACCTAGCAACTCTGACAAACAAAATGCCAACTTCGGCAGCGCTGTTACTATGAGTACAGAAATGTCCCGTGGAGGAATCACTAGGGAAATAAGCCCTGCTGCTCGCAGCCGTAATGGGAGCAGTGTCCAGGCAGACCGAGCGGTGATGTCGGCCCCAGCCCGCTGCTGCAGCCGGGCTTTCCAAGTGCAGGCTGGAGGCAGGAGCAGAGCCTGTTTTTTTCCAAAGTATCTGCACTGCACAACGTAAAAACTGTGCTTCAAGAGCGCAGTTTCAACTGAGCTTCAAGTGGCAGCGTTTGCACTTCTGAGATTCCTCATCTGAGAAATGTTCTGCTCTGATCTCTTTTCAGATGCGTTGCTTTCAGGGCTGCTGGGTTTTGCTCACATTTACTTTCAGACCTGGCTGTTTCATGAGACGGTGTCGCCTCTTTCGTTCCTCAGCTGGAAATAAACCTCACAAAGATTTTCTGACTTTCCCCTGCAAATATTGACTGTTTCTGGCATCTCTTTAGTATCGCGGTAGTTTTGAAGTGGAGATTAGAATCTCAATTTGTAAGCCTGTAGAGCTGAAAGTCCCTTATTTTTCCTCCCTCATTACTGTGGAGCACTGTTTGTGGATGGGTAAGAAAGAGAAGGTGAAAATATCAGAGCGGCTCTGGTATCACCACACGCCTGCGTAAGGTTTGCAGGTTGGGGGCTCATAACTTTCATCCAAAACCCAATGTGGGGGGTTTTTTGTTTGTTTATTTGTTTCTGTAGATTTGGCAAGGAATCTGGGGTTATGCTGCCCAGCTGGTGACTTCACCTAAGCAAACCTCCTAAAAATAAACAGATTTCGTGATTCAAGAACCTACAGTCTGTAATAAGTCTTTAAATTGCAAGAGTTGGCAATGGTCAGTAGATTTTGGTATTGTTATATGACTCGGTAAAAGCTTTTTCAAAGCTCAAGGTGTCTTCAAAAGCTATTGGAAAAAAAAATCCGATTAAAACTAAAATCCAGTTCAAGTAAAACCACAAGCTGCAGAGTGTCTGTACAATGCCGTCCAGTCTACAAAGGCAAAATAGATTAACTTCTGTTTCTAGAAAAAACGTAAATAACTTGGAATGTCATTCTCATAAGAAGCCGTATCCCTAGTGAAAAGAAGGCTGTGTTTCTCTTCTGTAAGGAATTTTGGAGGGGAAAAAGGCCCAAATGAGGTGCTAGATAAATATTTTGCAAACAAGATTCATTCAGCCTGTGGAAGGAACCAATCACGTAAGCAAGTTGTAAATGCAATTAAAGCACCAAACAAGGAGGCAATTCTGTATTATTCCATCAGAGCCTAGTGGTTTCTGGTGTTAGTGAAGTGTCACCGTGATGCCATCACAGCAATGGCATGAGCATGAGGTTCGGGTTATTTATTATGCTGCTTCCTCCAGTTTCAGGGAAGTTTGAGTGCTGATCCCATGACTGAGAAGTTTACCTGGAAACCTTGGCCGTTTTTTGCTGGTGTTTAAAGATGTAGTAGAAGAAAAGGCATCCACCGGAGGGGTGGTGGTTGCAGGTGTTCCTGCTCCTTGGTAAATGCAATAAAATAGACACCTCAATGCTGCTCGTGGCTCAATTCTTTGCCCTGGGATCTCAGTAGCTGGAGGGCTCTACCTTGGAGAATCCAGGGGAGCTTTTGGAGCAGTAATTCCTTCCCCTGTACACCATGGAGACATTACAGGGGTGTGATAACTTCTGGTAGTAGTAGAAAGGATCATGGCAGTGCTCGCCTTGTGTTTCGGGGTTTCTTTGACATCTGTTTTGTTTTTTTTTTTACCTGATACTGTTTTTACATTGATTTTTCTCCTCTTAATTCCTGCGATATTAAAGTTTACTGGTGGTATCTCAGTCTATCTGTGGCTTTTTCCCCATTGGAGTGGAAGTGCAGGCCCAGTCCTGCCTTTCTCCTCCTGCTGATGAGCCCCCTCCAGGTCTCTCTCAGGTTTCACCCAGCTGCTTCGTTACACTCTCCTGTACGGGGGGGTTAAGCAGAAAATCCCTTGATCGGAAGGTGGGCTGGAACAGACTCATCTGGTTTGTTGATGCTTCGCTCCCTGCTTGCCATTTAATGGAATCCCTTGTTTTCTCTCATCATGCCGCAGTTTCCACGCTGTGGTTTCCATGCTAGGTCTCTGCGTCATCCTTTTCTCATTTCTTCGAGCTTTGTTGTCTTTTGATTGATCATTGCAGTTCAGCTTGATTTCGTGTCTTGCATGTATTTACCCCACATGTCCCCAGATGTTTCTCCCAGCTGGGAGCTGTACAGAGCTTCTCACTCTTATGTGGGGGACACGGCACTTGTGAAATAGTCCCCCTATAGCCAACAGCAGGGTTTGGGCAGTCGCTGCCGGGCTCAAAAAGAACATTCCTGTCCCTTCCACGGTGTGAAGTTGGCGCTCTGCTGGTGGGCAGCACCCGAGGCACTGTTGCTGTTCAGAAGAGTTTTGTTTTTTTTTTGCCCACCCTTCTCACAGGGGTCTTGCTGAGATCGAGCTGAAGGCCTGGCGAGCGACATCTGGGCTGCAGAGCTGCCGGCCGTGCTCCCCTTGCAGCTTCTGCCACCTACACGCCCTGCCGTGCGTCGCTGCCTGGCCAACAGGAGACATCAGACCTCCCCGGTCCTTAGTCCTTAACACACATTTGCACTGAACAATTAGCTTGTTTTTCTTATCAAAGGGCTGTTTTTTGCTTAGACATTGAATCTGTGTCGGTGTCTCTGTTTGCCAAAACTTAAAACATCAAATTGAAACATAACATTGGTTTTTGCTTTGCAAAGAGCACAGCGAGCAAAAATATACAATTGTCACCATTCC